CTTAACCCATCTTTTGATTGGGTTAAGTCTTGTCTTGATTCTCTGTTTATTGAGTTCATTATATATTCTGGATATTAAAACTTGTCGCTTGTCGCTGGTGAAGATTTTCTCCCATTCTGTGGATTTTCTCTTCACTTCCCTGGTTGCCTCCTTTGATGTACAGAAGCTTTTTAGTTTAATGAGGTCCCATTTGTTAATTCTTGCCCAATAAATTTTATTTTTAATTATGTGTACGTGTGTGCTTGTGAATAGGTATGTACATGTGAGTGCAGATGCCCTCAGATGGGAGGCCAAAGACATTGGATCCCCTAGAGCTGGAGTTATGGGCAATTGTGAGCTGTCAGACATGGGTGCTCAGAACTGAACTCACTTAAGCAGTATGCACTCTTAACTGCTGAGGCATCTCTCCAGCCCCCAAAGAATTCCAAGATTCTTTCTTTTCTTTTTTTGAGACAGGGTCTTCCTGTAACCCCAGCTGGCCTGGAACTCTCTATGTAGAGCACACTGGCCTTGAGCTCTCAGAGTTCTCTCTGAGAACTAAGTGCTGTTATTAAGGTGTGTGCTACCAGCCCAGCTCCAAGATTCTTTCTACATTGTGGGATTAAAATATCCTTTTATTGGGGGCTGGAGAGATAGTTTTGTTTGGTTTTTTGATTCTTGGTATCAAACCCAAGATGGCATGCATGCTTAAGGAAGCAAGTGCTTTACTGCTGAGCTGTACCCTCAAGCCCTAAAATGTTTGGCGATGCATTTTTCTCAGTTGTATAGTTCTTGTTGAATTGAATTATACAACTGTGTTGGAAATTATTAAACTAGTCTTACTTTAAAAAATATCAGTAAAGGGCTGGAGAGATGGCTCAGTGATTAAGAACACTGGTTGTTCTTGGTTTGAATCCCAGCAACCACATGGCAGCTAACAACTGTATGTAACTCCAGTTCCAGGGGATCTGACGGCCTCTTCTGTCCTTTGCGGGCATTGCACGACATGGGTGCACTTACCTACATGCAGGCAATACACTCACACACATAAAATAAAAATAATAAATAAGGGGCTGGAGAGACGGCTCAATGGTTAAGAGCACTGACTGCTCTTGCAGAGAACCCAGGTTCGAGCCAGGAGTAGTGGTGCACACCTTTAATCCCAATATTCCTTTAATCCCAGCATTTGGAGACAAATTCCAGGCCAGCCAGGACTACATAGTGAGACCCTGTCTCTAAATAAATAGAGAGAAAGAAATAACTTTTGGGAATCACTGGAATAAATCAATGATAACGTCCTCTTTAACCTCCACTTTCCCATGTCTAGCACTCTACTGCCTGTATTCCTTTGCTTATCTCTGGGGAGTTTCCTGCTCATCTTTGTAATCAGTTCAGATGGCACCACTGTATAGTCTTTCCTAACCTCCTTCTTTCTTTCGTTTATTCTATATAATTAGTTTATATAACAATGTATTTTTTTTCTTCGCCACTGGGTAGTTAACTCCTTTCATTTATTAATTTAACATGTATTGATGGGATTGGAGATGGAGCTTAGTTAATAAAGAGCTTGCTTTGCATGCATCAAGCCCTGGGTTCAATCCTCAGCACCACGTAAACTGGACATGGTGGCCCACTCTTGTACTTCCAGCAATCAGGAGGCCATAGCAAGAGGATCCAAAGTTCAAAGTTGCCCTCAGCTACATAGTGAGTTGAGGCCAGCCTGGGCTATTTGATGCCCTGTTTCTAAATAAGTAAGTCAGTAAAATAAACAAGCATATGTGCTTGGCACTGTTTATATTAGGTACTAAATCTCTAACCATGTGCTAGGCAGTTTCCTCTTGCCTTCAAGGCATTTAGAGCTTTGTAAAGTTATTCCTTTCACTATAGTGTTAAATACTTTGATAGAATTGTAGACTGCCTGGGATGGAGAGATGGCTCTGTGGATAAAGTGTTTGCTGTACAAGCATGAGGACCTGAGTTCAGATCCCAAGTGCCCACATAAAAGTTGAGCTAAGTGGCACTCATCTTGAACCCCAGTGCTGGTAGGGGAGGGTGGAGACAGGTAGATCCCAGGGGTTCCCTGGCCAGCCAGTCTAGCTGAAACAGTCTAGGTTCAGTGAGAGACCCTGCCTCAAAAACTAAGGTGAAGTAGCTGGGTGTGGTGGTGCATGCCTTTAGTCCTAGCACTTGGGGGACAGAGCAGGTAGAACTCTGTGAGGTCAAGGCCAGCCTGGTCTATCTATATAGTGAGTTCCAGGGCAGCTGGGGCTACAGGGAGACCCTTTCTCAAAAAAAATAAAAATAAAGTGAAAAGCAATAGAGGAAAACATATGTCAACCTCAGATTCCATAAGCATATGTGTACACACAAATATCACACATGCACACACATATGTATACATATACCAAAAAAAAGTATAGAGTGGTTGGAGAACTTTAGCAATTTTTTAAATCTACCCCAGGCTAGATAGAGAGGGAAATCTTCCTGGAGAGGGATGATAGCTAAATATTAAAAAGAAAACATGATTAAAGTAGAGGAGGAAGGTGGACCTGGGTTTTAAAGTCTTGATAAGTTCCAGTAAAGGTCATGATGCTGTTTGTGAATATTGATGTTTATTTCTGACTGGATTATGCATAATATTATGTTGTAAGATGTTCTAGAATTTATTTGTTCTACAAAAGACTAGAAAGTTATATGTAACAGCATTTGTTAAAGACACCATCCTACCATTAAATTAGACATAAACTCAAACATGAATTGTCACTTTTAAAAAAGTATTTATATAAGCCAGGTGTGGTGGTACATGCCTTTAATCCCAGTACTCGGGAGGCAGAGGCAGGCGGATCTCTGTGAGTTCAAGACCAGCCTGGTCTACATAGTGAGTTCTAGGCCAGCTGGGGCTACGAGGAGACCCTGTCTCAAAAAGACCAAAAAAAAAAAAAAAAAAAAAGTATTTGTATGAAATATATTGTCACTAAGGATTGAGAAATTAGTAGGAAATGATTTTAAATCTGTATTATAGTTTAAGTCTGTCTTATACTCTTGACTAATAAAGTGCACTGTGGGAGATTACTTAGGGAATGATTTTGAATTAGTGGATTAAAAATGATGGCAATTTGAATAGCAAGTATTGTACATAAATATGTTCTAAGTAGAAAGGGATGTGACTTGTAACAAACCTTTATTATTTAAAGTCCTTTGTGCTGTCACCCTCAGCAATCGAGTCTTTAAAGTCTGTCACCTATTAAATTTCTCAGTTTTCATTTCCTAAACATATTCTAAAGTCTTCTTTCTACCAACTGTTCTCTAAGCACTTATAATTTCTAGTTCCAAATAAAAGTCAGCGGTTAAACAGAGCAAATCACAGTGCAACTCTTATTAAATCATACTAGCCTGACTATGTGCAAATTAAACTTATTGTTTATTGTGTCAAAAATCATTGGGTTCTGCAGTGAGTTTGTAGTCCTTTGTTTTTCTACACGGGAATATAGAGATTGTTTCTGAAGTCAAATTTTCTTTAAAAAGAGATTAAATGAACCAGTTTTTCTTTTCTGCTTTTGTAGATTTCTTGATAACCGGCTGTTTGCTACCTGCTCTGATGACACTACAATAGCACTATGGGATCTGAGAAAATTGAACACCAAAGTATGCACTTTACATGGTCACACTAGCTGGGTGAAGAACATCGAATATGATACTAATACAAGACTCTTAGTAACATCAGGATTTGATGGAAATGTCATTATTTGGGACACTAACAGGTTTGTGTATAGGAGACCATGTTAGGAATATAATACTGTAAAACTTTTTTTTTGAGATGGTAAACAGCTTCAGTGTTTGGTTCTAGTCTTAAGACAAAAACAAAGCAAAAAACTTAGCTTTATAAAGAAAACAATCAAAAAGTGATTCCTAGGCTAGGGATGTGACTCAGTTGGTTGAATGCTTGCCTAGCATGAGCCCTGAACTTGATCTCCAGTGCTACAGAAAACCAGGCATGGAGACTATGTCTGTAATATAAGCACTCAGGAGATGGAGACAGGATGATCAAAAGTTCAAGGTCATCTTTGGTTACATAGCAAGTTCAAGGATAGCCTGGCCTATATGAAATGACCCTGTCCCAAGAAAATGATTTCTTCTGTTACACTTACTCATATATTGCAACTAAAGAAATTGGAAGTGAGTGTATAGTTCAGTGGCAAAGTGCTTTTCTAAGCTGCATGGGGCTCAGAACTGCAAAAATAGATTTTTTTTTTAATTGGAGAAAATTTCTGGGTGTGGTGGTGCATAACTTTAGTCCTAGCACTCAGAAGGCAGAGACAAGTGGATCTCTGTGAATCCCAACCCAGTCTACCTAGGGAGACCCTATCTCAAAAAAGAAAGAAAGAAAATTGGGCAGGAGATCAAGTCATATATCTAATGATGAAAGCTGGTTTATAAAATGAATTTCCTAAATATAAGGGAAATATTCTTATTTCCTATGTGAAACAAAAATATTTCTTGTTCTTTGGTCTTTCAGTTATAAATGTGTTTATTTTGTAATTTTTTTAAATTTTATGTGTATGAATATATTGCTTGCACGTAGGCAGGTGCAACCATGTTGTGCAATGCCCCTGAAGGTCAGAAGAAGGCATTGGATACCTCTGGAACTGGCGTTATGGATGGTTGTTAGCTGCTGTATGGGTGCTGGGAATCAAACCCATATCTTCTGCAAGAGTAGTCAGTGCTCTTAATTGCTGAGCCATCTCTCCAGCCCTTAAATTTTGTTTTCTTCCATTAAAAGAGTAGTTCTCATTTGAGTGATACTAATCCAAAAGGAATATTTAGAAATGATGCGTAGGACAGTTTGAGTTGTCTATGGGAAAAAAGAGGATACCTACTGATACTTACTTGGTAGGGAACATTGTTTCTTAGCATCCTATAGTACATAGGATAGTTACACAGTGGGCCAGTTGTCCCACCTAAAATGCCAGCTCTGCCTCAGCAGTGAAGCACTGCAAGAAAATGTTTCCTTACAGAGAAATTATTTGCAGAGTAGTTGAGGTTTGGTAAATAATTAAAATGTGCCTGTGCTAACTATGGTGAACTGTTAATATAGTTAACATATTACAGTCTGAAGACCCTCAGAAGTTATATTTAAAAGAGGATGTTCTAGTCTGGTTCTCTATTGCAGTGACAAACACTCTGACCAGTACCAACTTGGGGAGGAAAGGGTTTATTCAGCTTACATCTTCTGGGTCACAGTTCATCAGGGAGCTCAAGGTAGACACTCAGGGCAGGAACCTGGAGACAGGAGCTGGAGCATAGGCCATGGAGGAACACTGCCTACAGCTTGCTCCCCTGGCCTGTGCTCAGCCTGCTTTTTTATACAACATAGGCCCACCTGCCCAGGGGTGGCACCACCTACAGTGGGCTGGGCCCTCCCACATCACTCCCTCAACCCAGGTGTGTCAAGCTGACACTACAGCTATCCAACACAGAGGATATTCTTAGTAAAAAAAATTTCTAGCTACACCTAATTGAGTAAAAGAGTTGTTAATTATCTTTATTCAAAGACTAACGTACTTATTAAAATATAGAGGTAATTTTTTTTTTTTTTGTCTTTTTGAGATGGTCTCCTTGTAGCCCCAGCTGTCCTGGAACTCACTATGTAGATCAGTCTGTTCTTGAACTCACAGAGACCCCCCTGCCTCTGCCTCCTGAGTGCTGGGATTAAAGGTGTGCGCCACCACACCCGGCGAGGTAAATTTTTTTAGTAAGGAAATTTTGAATAGGAATGTAAGTGATAACTTTCAAGTTAGTAGAAGAGTAAAAACTGAATGAATGAATTTTATGCTTCCACTAGAAGCATCATTTAAAAAGGGGTGGGAATGGCTGGGCGTGGTGGCCAGCCTGTGTTACATAGTGACACCTTGTGCTAGAAAACAAAAACAAGTTGGGTCTATGATCTGAGCTACTTGGAATGTTAAGGTATAACAGCTGTGAGTTCAAGGCCAGACTGAGCAACTTAGTGAGATCTTGTCTCAAAATAAAATGTAATAAATTGGCCAGGGATGTGGCTCAATGGTAGGGTAACTGCCTAGCATGTGTGAAGCCTTGAGTTTCCTAATACTAAACTAGCCAGTTAAGAAGTAGTGTTAAATTGAATTAGAAAGTAAAATCAAATTATATGTTCTTTATAAGAAATACTTAAAATATATAAAACCAGAAAACTTGAAGATAAAATAGGGCTAAAAACCAGGTAAGTACTTATGAGATGAAAACAGTGTTGGCCACATTAATAGCAGACAAAATAGAATGTAAGGCAAACAGCATTACTACTACTATAGTACCAATAAAGGTACTACTATATTAAAAGCCTCATTACTAGACTATTATATTGTAGTAGTATATTATAATCTACTTACTAGACTATAAACGAACTCTTACATACACCTAAAAATAAAACTCAGTATTAAAAGAAACAAAATTTGACATAATTACAAGGTAAAAAAAAAGAAATCACCATTTCAGTGGAAAATAACAGTTCCATTTGTTTTACTAATAGATAAGGTAGACACAAAAATGGGCCAGTGAATGGCTGAACTGGTATCAAAGAGATGTCACACAAACCATTTTCTCTAAATTCAGTACAGTTTAACTAAACAGTTAATTAGAAGTTCCCTTGTTTAGCTGAGAATAATAATTCATACTTGTAATTCCAGCATTTGAGAGGCTGAGGTAGGAGGATTGTGAGATTGACACCAACCTGGGCTACATAGTGAGATTCTGTCTAGGAGGGAAGGAGGGAAAGAAGGAAATTCTTACATGCCGTGAAATTAGAAGCTAGACTGACAATTGATGAACTTACTAAAGAAATTTTTTGGGGTAAAGGGTAAGCCCAATAAAATTAGATATATAGAAATGATAAAAAAGGTGTAAAATCAGTATTGAGAATGAAGATACAGTAAGAGTTTTAGAAGTCTGTTCTTTGAAAAAGCTAATTGAGGCTGGGTATGGTGGTGCTCACCTTTAATCCCAGCAGAACTACATAATGACTTTAGCAATTAAGAGCACTGATTGCTCTTGCAGAGGGTTCAGGTTCTGTTTCCAGCACCCACATGGCAGCTAACAACTTCCGTTCCAGGAGATGCAGTGTCGTCTTCTGGCCTCCCTAGGCATTGCACACACATGGTGCATCTTACATACATGCAGGCAAAACACTCAGATAAAAAAAGTTTTAAAGAAAAAGCTAATTGTGTGGCAATTTTTGGGCTAGATTCAAAGATTCATCAAGATAAAAAATGAAGACAAACTATACTAGCAATGAAAAAGGAGATATAACAAAAATATAAGCCAGACATATAAGTGGCACACATCTGTAACCCCAACTCTTAGGAGGCTAAGGTAAGGTAGAAGGATCATGGGCTCAAGGCCAGCTTGGACTGCATAGTGAGACCGTCTCAAAACAGCAGCAGTAGGACTAGCAAGAAGGCTCAGCAGGTAAAGATGCTTGGCCACCAAGCCTGACAACCTGAGTTAGATACCCTGAACCCATGTGGAAAGGGAGAACCAACTTCTGAAAGTTGTCCTCTGACCTCTACATGCATGCTGTGGTATGTGTGCCCACACACATACACTAAATAAATAATAAATAAATAAATAAATAATAAATAGTAATTAAAAAGTCAAACAGAATGAGCAACAACAAATATACATAATAAAATAGCAATATTAGCTTTATGCCAATGTACTTAAAAACTTTGATGAGATAAACATTTTATTCAATATATATTAGAAGCCAGATGTAGTGGCACATGCCTATAGTCCTAGCATTTGGAAGGCTGAAGCAAAAAGATTACAGAGAGTACAAGGCCAGCCTAGGCCATATAGTAAGATCCTGCTTTAAAAACAAAAACAAAAAAATAATGTCTTAGCAAAACTGACTAAAGAGGAAATAGACTTTTTACCAAGACTGTGTTCTGACCAGTACGCCATGGTTCAGCAGAAGCAGCTTTTAGTGGACTGAACTTCTGAATTAAATAAATTGAACGGATGATTTAAAAATCTTCCTACAATGGCTGCGTGTAGTGGCACACGCCTGTAGTCCAGCACTTGGGAGGCAGAGGCAGGTGGATCTCTGTGAGTTCAAGGCCAGCCTAGTCTACATAGTGAGTTCCAGGCCAGCTGGGGCTACAGGGAGACCCTGTTTCAAAAAGACCCCCCCCAAAAGTCTTCCTACAATGAAAAGACTAGACCAAAATGGCCTCATTAATGAATTTTTCCAAACATTTATAGTGAATTGTAACCAGAAAATAGAACAATTCCCAACTCAATACTTTGAGTCTAGTATTACCCTAACACCCAAATCAGATAAACATCCTAAGAATAGAAAATTGCTGACTGATAATCCCTCAAAAAATTGATATAGAAAATCTTCAATATCAGGTGGAAGGAAGAGAGGGTGGAGTGAGAGTAATCAGAAAGGATTACATACATATATGAAATTATTAATAATAATAAATCCAATAAAAATATTAGCAAGTCAAATTTAGCTACATATATAGGGATTATATGCTTCAAGTAGAATTTTTTCTAGTAATGGAGGGTTGGCTTAATGTCCAAAAATCAATTATTGTAATATTTAGTAAAGGTCAAAACCCATATGGTCATCCTAATAAAGACAGAAAAACACTTGACAAAATCTAACCCCTGTTTGTGATACAATTAGGAATAAAAGGGAATTTTCTCAGCCTAATAAAGAGCTCCTATGAATAATCTCTGGCTAAAATCATAATGTGGAAAACCTGATTACCCATAAGACTGAGAACAGAGCTATTACCACTTTCATCCAGATTGTACTGGAGGTGCAGCATAGCTGTGGCAGCGTAATCAGACAAGAAATATTAAATCAGTCTTCATATACAAAAGATTTAGTCTTCTATGTAGAAAGTCTTAGGGAATCCACAAAATCCCTAGAACTGATTTCAGCAAGTGCACAAAATATACAAAATTAATATACAAAAATCAATTGCATTTCTCTTTATAAGCAGTGAATAATCCAAAGATAAAGAAAACATTTCTGTTCACAATAATATCAAAAAAAGAGCTGAAAAATTGACTCAGCAGTTAAGAACACTTGCAGTTCTTCCAGAGGACCTGAATTTGATTCCCTGCACCCACATGGCAGCTAACAACCATCCAGAACTCCAGTTCCAGGGGATCTGACACCCTCTTCTGGCCACATGGTGCATGTACATACATGCAGGCAAAATACTCATACATGTAAAATGAAAATAATAATTAAAAAAAATTTTTTTTAAGTATACACTGAGAATATTCAGTACTTTTGTTTTGTTTTTATAGATAAGGTCTGTTTGCCCCATCTGACCTGGAACTCACTGTGTCCAACATCCCAGACTGGCCTGGATCTCACAGAGATCTCACTTGTCTCTGCCTCCAAGTGCTGAGATTAAAGGCCTGCACCACCTTGCCTGGCCAGCCAGCCCTCTTTTTTTTTTAAAAAAAATAAAAACAAATAAAAACAAAGACACATTTTCTAGCCCAGGCTGGTCTGAAATTCCCATGTAGCTGAGGATGACCTTGAACTTCTTTTTCTTCTACCTGTACTTTCTGAGTGCTGGGATGACAGGTATATGCCAACACAACCAGTTTATGTGCCGCTGGGAATCAAACTCAAGGCTTTGTGCATGCTAGGCAAGCACTCTACGAACTGATACCTCATATCCCCAGCACCTCAGAACAGTTTTAAATAGTGAACCTTGAGAAGTTTTCTCTATACAATTAGAAAAGAGAATATGCCTAACATTACTACTGTTGTTCATTAATGCCATGGGTGAGATAGTGCAGTAAAAAGATGGTGCAATAAAAGAAAGAAAAAATTATATATAAGGATTGGAAATTTTTTATATTTTATTTATTATTTTTAATTTCATGTGTATGAGTGTATTGCCTGCATGTATATGAGTGCACCTGTGTCGTGCAATGCTGCGGAGGTCAGAAGAAAGCTTTAGTTTCCCTTGGAACTGGAGTTAAGGATGGTTTGTAGCCACCATGTGGGTGCTGGGAATTGAACCCAGGTCCTCTGCAAGAGCAGTCAGTGCTCTTAACCACTGAGCCATCTCTCCATCCCCCAAGGATTGGAAATTTTAATGTCATTCATAGATGATATGATTCTATTAGGAATTAACAAACTTTCTGTGCTGGATTAACTGATAAATATTTTAGCCTTTATAACTGTATGGTGTTGGAGTAGCTACACAGAGTGGATGTGGCTGTGTTATAAAACAAGCCAGTGGGGTCATATAAAAACTATATAAAAACAAGCCAGTGAGTTCAAGCATCTTTAATCCCAGCCCTCAGGAGGCAGAGGTAGGTAGATCTCCCAGGCCAGGCTGTTCTCCATAGTGAAACCCAGTCTCAAAACACAAAACAACACAACACAACACAAACCAACCAAACCAACCAAATGTCAGTGGACCAGGTTTGGCCTGTGGCCAGTTTTCCAACCCTTTGTCTATATAGAAAATCCTAGAAATTCTTCTGAGAAATAATCAAAATTACTGAGTCAATCAAGATTGTTAAGTATAAATTATGGAAAACAGTATGGAATTTCCTAAAAAAAATTAGAGCTCCTGTATAATTGAGTAGTCTCTCTACTGGGACTATTCCAAAGGAACTTAAATCAGTGTGTTAAATATCATTTATTCATTACCTTACATTAGCCAAGGTATGGAACCAACCTTGGAGGTCCATCAGGTCCATCAGAAGATGAGTGGACTTTAAAAATTTGGTATATAAACACACTGTAACACTATTTAGCCTTTAAACAGAAGAAAATCTTGTCTTTTGCAGTAGCATGGATGAACCTAGTAGGCATATATTAACTGAAATAAGCCAAGCATTGCTTTGATGAAGCATCTAAAGCAGTAGACTCTTAGAAGCAAGGAGTGGAATGGTAGTTACCTAGGAGCTAGACACTGGTGCAGAGGGGAGATGTTGGTCAGAGAATACAAAATTTCATTTGGAAGAACACATATAAAAATAGATTATACAATATAGTGACTATAGTTAATACCAATGTATACTTGAAAATCACTGAGAGCATGAAAAGTAATGCATATGTTAATTAAGTCAACATGTAGACATTTTAAAACATGTTGGTTGGGGATATTAGTAGAGTACATGGTTAGCATATGCAAGGACATAGGTTTGATCTTTAGCACCAAAAAAAAAAATGTTGTATAAGTATATACAATTTTCATATAAAATTTTATATACATTTTACTCAATTAAAAATAACAATAAAGATGACTAGATATGTTTTTAATTGTTTATAATGTATTTATTGTTTTTTGTTTTATGTGTATGCGTATTCTGAATGTATAAAAGTTTACCCATGCATGCAATGCCTGAAGAGGCCAGAAGAGGGCATAGGAGCTCCTGGAATTGAAGTCATGGGTGGTTGTTAACTGCCGTGTAGGTGCTGGGAACTGAACCCAGGTCCTCTGCAAGAGCAGCCAGTGCTCTTAACCACTAAGCTATCTCTCCAGCCCTCTATTTTTTTAAAATTAATTTATTATTTTTTAAAAAAGGAGGCCAGGAGTGGTGGCACACGCCTTTAATCCCAGTGCTGGGAGGCAGAGGCCAGATGATCTTTGTGAGTTCCAGGCCAGCTGAAGCTATGTGAGTCCCAGGACAGCTGGAAAAAAAAAAAAAAAAAAAAAAAAAAAAAAAAAAAAAAGACAAAAAAAAGACAGAAAAAAAAAAGAAAGAAAGAAAGAAAAAAGAGATGGGTTATAAATTCATAAAGACAGGAAAATAGGAGAGGAAACTTGTTTGACAGAATTTTAGAAGCTGAGAAGGAGGCAGATTAATGGCATCTGACTTAGCAACTGTCTTAAGCAGTTTCACTTAGGAAGTTCAAGAAAGCTAAATCCTAGGACTGGAAACCTGACTCAGTGTTTAAGTGCACTTGCTGCTCAGAGGATCCAGGTTAGGTTCCAAGCATCCACATGGTGGCTAACAGCTGTCTGTAACTCTAGTTCCAGGGGATCTTCTGGCCTTCAGAGGCATTGCATGACAATTTACATGCAGACAAAACACTCATATACATAAAATAAAAATAAAACTTGGGCGTGGTAGCGCACGCCTGTAGTCTCAGCACTTGGGAGGCAGAGGCAGGTGGATCTCTGTGAGTTCAAGGCCAGCCTGGTCTACATAGTGAGTTCCAGGCCAGCTCGGGCTGCAGGGAGACCCTGTCTCAAAAAGACCAAAAAACCCAAAAAACCTTTAAAAAAATAATTCAAGTCCTATATGTAAGAGAATATTGATAACTACCAAGTTTTATTCTCTGTATTCCAAAAACTTCTGTTTGTGTTTCCTACATTAGAAGTTTTTCTCGTGTATGATTATCATTGGATGTTTGCCCTCTTTATAGAATAAAATGAGAAACTTCTGCTAAAATCACACATTGCCCATTGGAAGGGGTTAAATGTGGCAATATAAGTTCTTATATATTTTTAAATTCTAAATGTTTTATAGACTACTGAGATGGTTCAACAGGTAAAGGCACTAGCCACCAAGCTTGACAACCTGAGTTTGATCCCTCCTGCAAGTTGTCCTTCACATGTGTGCCCCTTCACATGTGTGCCCCTTCAATGTAATTTTTAAATTAAACGAATGAGAACTATCAGAGACCA